AAACCATCTTCAAACATTCAGTTGTATTTGTTAGTTTCACACAGTTTGACTTGTATAACTAATCCATGAGAGCTGGCTAGTTCAATGTTTTAATTAACATTTAGTATTTTTAATGCGGTTGCAGGTTTTGTTGAATCCCCTGTAAGATACTTTGTGATATATCAGAAAAGAGCATTATTGGAAATATTTTAATCCACAAATCATATTTTGTTCAAGCAATGAATCTTCACATTGTCTTCACAGGAGGGATATTGTAGCTGGGGAATTCTACCTTGGAAAATAAAAATGTGGAAATCAATTAATATTTTGTAGCTATATTTAATTATTTTATATTCCACACAGATCATTTTTTTAGCAAAACGGGAAGGAAGATGAACTGTTTCCACACTTTCCAATCTCTTGAGCAAGCCACCAAAAATTATTTCAGCAGAGTAACACTCTCTCCAACTTCCATCCCCTCTTATGTTGGGAAATGCCAACATTTCCTTTCTGTGTTTTCCTCAATCGACAGTCAAAATCCAAAGACCAGTTGTGTGAATGGAACCACCGCAAACAGGAGCACGCTTCTAAATCTTTTTTTACCTCAATTTAGCACATCAAGCATGTAACATTACATGGGTTGAATTTACATCGTATCATGTCGTCAAGCATTTTATGAAAACAATCTTAATCTCAAAATCAATTAACTGCCATGAGATCACTTCCTGGTGTCAATGTGCTCAAAGTAGACTCTGTTTGTTTACAGGGTTTTCACACTGTACTTTCTTAGCAGTGATTATGCTGGTGACAGCTGCCGGAATGTACACAATGTCCTTTAATGAGTGGTGAATGACGTTCAGAATATTATCTTGTGATATAGTCCTGTAGCTCAGTGGTTAGAGCACTCGTCTTGCATGTGAGACACCTGGGTTCAATTCCAGGCAGGGCGAAACCTTGCAAGTTTCCTTATTCCACACACCTAATAATAATAATCCCTCCAAAAAAAAAAACAATAATAAATTGGTAATTTTCAATCCACGACTGTTTATCCAGTATTTATTTTCATACACTAGTAAAACAAAAAGGAGTAATACACATAAATCATACTCAGGAAGAACTTACTTTGCAAAGAATTACATTTGCCAAGTTGATCAGAAATCCATAATTAATGCTTCCTGCCTTTGCTTTTTAGTTAAATTTAATTAGGAAGCACAGCAAATGAGTGTTAGCTTGGCTCAGTTGGTGACCACACATCAGAAATTGAGCTATAGTCTGGGCTGATAGTACGGGGGTGGTGGTCAATCATAATCCTTTACATTTCATCAAGCCGTCTCAAGGAGGGTGAGGCGGGGGGCTGGGTGGCGGAAGGTCCAGATTGTCAGAGGAATTGCAAATTGCATTAATAATCCTTGCATTTGATATAGTGCCTCATCATGTCATTGAGACATCTGATAAATAGTGGTGTGGAGGTGTGTTTTGTGGGCGCAACATAGCAGCCAGTTGCACATAATAATGTCGCAATGTGCCCATAAGCAGCCATGGAGTAAGTGACCAATTTTATTGAGAGGATTTATTAGCCAGGACAACAGGAGAGAGAATCTCCCTTCCCTTTTTAAATAGTGCTGTGGGATCTTTAATGTGCACCTGAACAGGCAGATTGCAAACTTCTGAACACTGTGAATTTTTTTTATTTTTAAAAAATAACAATAAAGTATAATATGTATAAAGTTTAGGATGTATTAACATGCTGGAATTAATAAATCAATGAGTTCTAACATCAGTTGAGTCAAATCTTCAAAATAAAACATCTTGTCAATAGATAAGTTAATCTTTAAATACATACCAGAACTGTGCTTTTAATATGTAATTTCTTTATTTCTCTTTCCATTTTGGTGCTCTCATTTTGAAAGTACTAACTCATGCAGGGTTACGGTTCCACAGATACTGCCAACTATCCAATACGCCCAACTTTCAAATGTCTATGCTAGCCCGTACTGCTGAGGTGAAACTTTCCTCCCATTCTAATTCTCTGAATGTCAATAGTTGTTAGGCCATGGCGGGGGCGAGGGAAATGACAACCAAGCCTAACCCTTTTCTTACAATATAATTCAATAAATAATTTTACATTTATTATAGCTGAAAGCCTAACTGCTGATGGTGGGGCTTGTGGGGCAGGGAATGTAAAGCAGGCTAGAGCCCATTGAGTGGAAGAAGTGACCGGGTTGAGGAGGTTGCAGAGATAGGTTGGGGCAACAGCAATCTACTTTCCAGCAGTGATCACTAGACAGCAATTAGATTAGGAACTCTGAATCATTTCTCTTCTATAACCTCGGGACACTGAGTCAAATTATAGATTGGATGGGATACTTTTTTTATACTGGAAGCTAATTTAGCAAATTATCCTTAAGTACTAAGTAATAATCCTTACATTTGATATAATGCTTCATCGAATCATTGAGATATCTCAAAGCATTTCATAGGATTTACTGTAAAGTGCAGTGACTAGATTTTGTAGGTGAACATGGCAGCCAATTTATGCACAGCAGTATTCCACAGGCAATCATGAGGTGAATGATCTATTTTGTTTGGGGGATTGTTGGCCAGGACACCCGGAGAAACTCCCTTCTCTTTTCGAATAGTGCCATGAGATCTTTAATGTGAATAGGCAGATGGGCCTTGGTTTAACAACTCATACAAAGGATAGCACTTCTGACAATACAACATATCCCAGTGCTGGATTGGAGTGTCAGCTGAGACAACACAGTTGTAAGCTAATTTCAGAAAAACTTTCGACTAAAAAATTATCTTACAAAAGACTAAACATGTACCTGCCAAAGTTTTCTGTCACCTTGACAAAAGCTCCAGGATATTGTTCTTACTTGGTCCATTCAGTCATGAAGACCCTTGGTATCCATGCAGTATTTGATCACCAATCAGCTTATCCTTTCAGGGTTAAGTTTCCAGCCCATGTTAAGTAGATATTGATCAGCTACCTTTTAAAAGAGATTGTAAACAAATAATTAACTGCTTTTAATGCACAATTAAGTTTACCTAAATGTTAATAGGAAATACATGAATCATTAATTGTTAAAGTGTTGGAAGTATAGCATCCAAAGTAGGTATAATACTATCCACTTTTTTATTAACACATTATCATCTTTAAAGCAATTATTGAGATTAGCACTGTATGAAAAGTGGAAATCTTACATGTAGGTCATCATCCACCATCTTACAGAAGGTGTTAACTCAAGAGGAAATTAAACTTTCACTAAATGACACCCACAGAACATTTCACTTGAAAATATGTTCCAATGCTTTTACTCATTTAGTTTATTTGGTGTTTTAAATTGAATAAAAATCCCTACTGCAGAGGGTTACCTCAATGGCTGGTACCTTAGGAGTCCTGTAGCTCAGTGGTTAGAGCACACGCCTTGCAAGCGAGACACCTGGATCCAATTCCAGGCAGAGGGCGAAACCTTGGGCAAGTTTCCTTACTCCACACGCCTAATAATAATCCCTCCAAAACAAAACAATAATAAAATTGGTCATTTTCAATCCACGACTGTTTGTGGGACATTGCTGTACGCAATTAGCTACCGTGTTTTGCCCACAAATATAGTCAATTCACTTTACAGCATATTCTGTGAAGCGCTTTGAGACGTCGAGAAGACGTGAATAGCGCTATATTAAATGCAAGGATTATTATTATTATTACCTCAGCAATTTTTTTTAATGCAAATACAAATAAATCATAGTTGGCTATAGTTTATATTAACCAAATCCTATCATGGCCTCCCCAACTCCTCCCTCCATAGGCTGCAGATCATCCAGAACTCTGTAGCCCGTGTCCTTTCCATCACCAGGCTCCGCAACCCTATCAGCCCCACTCTCGTCCGACTCCACTGGCTTTCCATCACACAGAGGATACAGAGAATCCTGGTCCTCACTTTCAAAGCCTTCCAAGGCTTTGCTCCCCCCCTACCTTTGCAACCTCCTAACCCCCTACCAACCTGCTCGCTGCCTCCACTCAGCGGGCTCTGGCCTACTTGACTTCCCCTGCCTCGCCCACCACATTATTGGTGGGTGGGCCTTCAGCCACTCTATCCCCAGCCTCTGGAACTCCATCCCACTGTCCCTCCTTCTTGCCCCCTTCCTTTCCTCCTTCAACACCCATCTCAAGACCCTCCTCTGCCTTTGGTTACCCCCCTTCCCCCCCTGCCTGATCCCAACCCCCAGCTCGGGTCCGAAACATTGATTGTCGAGTGCCTTGGAACAGCCTTCCGATGTGAAAGGCGCTATACAAATGTAATTTTGTTGTTGTTGTTGTCGACTACAAATGCAGCTGGTAGTAGAGACGACTCCAAAAGAACAAATAAACCTATCTACAAACATAATAAAAACATGGTAGGTTTGCCAAAGACTTTGGCATATTAGGCTTTTTTTGCCAAAAATATTTTTTACGTTTCTGGCTCATCAGCATAACTTGGAAGGACAAACTGGGGGCAGGGATTCTTTTCACTCAGCTCGTGTTTTCCTGCAAGCCAAATCCCTAACAGTTAGGGTGGACCTAGCTGGACAAGCAACAGGAAGCTTGCTTTGAATGGCAAGTTATGCAGTTATGCACCCCCTAGGGTCCCCAAGGCTTGGCTCTTGCCAATGTGTGCCTAACATTCTTTAGAATTAGGTAAATAGGGTGTTTCCCTCCAGGGAGAGTGCACATTCTATTCCACACTAAGAAGTTTCCATGTGGCACATGGAACTCTCAGTCTGGCTTAGAGGCTCAAGCAGGGAGATGGGTTTCCACATGTGTCAGACCCCAGCTGAGTTATAAGCATTGATGTGAGAGGTGACTCCTGATGGATATAGATGGAAAGCTGGAACTTCTGTACAAGATCAGTCTTTAGTGATGATCTTGAGACTAAATGCAGATTTGTTTTAAATGCTGATTTAGTGTATGAAAGTAAAGTTGGATAGGCATACAGCCATTCATTTAAAGAAAACAAGAGATGAAACATCATATTGAAAATAATGCATTTATTTACATTGCATTCAGCAATACAATTGCACTCGATCCACTTATATGCACATTTGACATAAGCAAAAACTCTGGCATATTCATTCTTTACAAAGGTCTCAAGCCAGTGATACATTATGCAGCATAAACAGTCTGTTCCTCCATCCCAGCCTCTTGCAGGCACAGCAACCTGATCTTACTGCTTCATTTACAGTAAAGGGTGAATACTCAGATAACAAACACATCGGGATTGTTGCAACACAAACTATTTACAGCACAAACTATTTACAACACTGAAACTGGTTAAGAAACAAACGCTAAAAAACATGAATAATTTCTCTCTCCATCGCTGCCTTTACATGAATGTTGCTTTCAAAGCTCTTCCAAAAAACATTATAGAACTGCCCAATTTACAATGGCAATAACCTGACACATGTTTCAAACGTATACAGCTGGAGAGCAGAGAGATTTGAAAAGTAGATATAAATAACATTCTATAAATAGCAAACACAGAGCAGTGAAACTACACGAAGATAAGCCTGGACTTAGATAGTGACAAACTGCTACCAAAGAGAAATCAAATTAATGCAGCATTTCAGCTTCAGAAGCAGAATGGAATGAGTGGATGGGTCCAGGAACAAGTTTAGCAACTGGATTGAAGGCTGGATGATTCTGATTCGGTAGAAATTGATGGGTGAGTCGCTCTTCTGTCTTTGCTTTGAAGCTTTTTGAGAGGTGAGCATCTGATTTCTGAATGACTGAAGACTTTTCGGGTGTAGCTCTTGAAATTCACCCCCACAAAGGCATACAGAATGGGATTGAGGCAACAGTGACAATAGGCTACGGCTTCAGTCAAATTCATGGCCATGATCACCATCTGCTCCATCACACAGGAGTACTCTCTACCTCTCATGAGCATCACTGTGTCGATCAGGATCACAATGTAATAGGGCAGCCAGCAGGTGAAGAAGATCACGATCAGGATGATGGTGATTTTCAAGGCTTTGCGCTTCTGTAAACCTGTGGACTGGGACAGCTTGGAGATAATGATGCAGTAGCAGGTGAGGATGACCAGAGCGGGCAGGACAAATCCCACCAGCACACCCTTCATCCTGAAGGCCACCAGCCAGGTCTGGAAGGTCTCGGTTGGGTAGATGCGGTCACACACGATCCTGTCCATGAGTTGTGTGGTTTTAGCGAACACCATGTCGGGCACAGTGAGCAGAATCGATGGTAACCAGACGCCCACATACACAAAGCGGTTGGCCAACATTTTCCGCTGTCTGGTGCTGTTGGTTGCATGCACGACCGCATAGTAGCGATCCAAGCTTATGAAGGCCATGATCAGGACGGTGCTGTACAGGTTCATGGTGTAGATGACGTGCACGATTTTGCACGTAATGTCTCCGAAATACCAGTTGACGGTGTCGATGGCCCAGAAAGGGAGGGTCAAAACGAACAGCAAGTCTGCCACAGAGAGGTGGAGCCTGTACTTGTCAGTCATGCTGCGGTAACGCTTGTGGTAGCCCATGACCAGCACCACTAGCCCATTACCCACAATGCCCAGGATGAAGATCAGGGAGTAGAAAAGCGGGATAAGTATCTTTTTGATGTACAGATTCTGCTCTTCGCACATGAACTCCCCCTCGTAGCTGTAATTAGCCGAGTCATTGTGTTCGTAGTTCTGCGAGAATGATAAAAAAACATATTTTTTAATATATAATCTCTATCTCTATCTATAGCAAATTTAGCCAAACCACCACCGACTTAACTTGCGTCAACTTTTTTTTTAAAAAAAAGGTGCATTGTCGCTTTCTAAGGCGTAACATCACGGGATACAACATAACCCACAAAAAAAACCCACACAAACACACACAGGTTTCTATGTCTCTCCCTGATTTAGATTTACAGAAATTAACAAATGAGTTTTACTTTATAGATAGATAGATATTTAGATATTTAGATAGATAGATATTTCGATAGATATTTAGAGATAGATATTTAGATAGATATTTAGAGATAGATATTTAGATAGATAGATATTTAGATAGATAGATATTTAGACAGATATTTAGATAGATAGACAGATAGATAGACAGATAGATAGATAACAAATCATAGATGCATTTTGTTCTTGTTGTTGGCACAAGAGTGTTCTGCTCAAATTTTGCTGCTACAGGAGAGAGAGTGAATCCCCAGAGAATTCTCTCTTTTTTTTTTCGTCGGCTCCAAACCAACTCAAAAAAAAGCCTTTGACAAAAGCGTCTCCACTCAGCAGCGTTACATCCGACATCCAACCGAGTCGCTTTAAAGCAGCCGCCGCCACCCGCTTTGCTTTACTGATCGCTGTGGTTTTTGGAAGGGACTTTTCGTGAAAAGGAGATCCAAAAATAAATAGAACTGACTCACGGGCTCTGTCTGTCTCCCCCGAGTGGGCAGTGAGAGAGAGGAGAGAGGACCTCAACCCGTGAGCGGTGCGGAATGAAAATCCCTACTAACAGTTTCGAGTCTGCATATGACTTTGAATAAAACCAACTGTGGGGAAACTGTTTTTTTTTAAACAAAGAAAACACACACATCAAACACACACCAAACACACACACACACACCAAACACAGACACACACGCACATCACACACACACACACACCAAACACACACACACACGCACATCACACACACACATCAAACACACACCAAACACACACACACACACCAAACACACACACACGTGTGACTGACGGTTTTCTGGGGGTTCAGATGGAGTTGTTAAGTAATTGCAAACTTCTTGTGGAAGTCCCGGGCGATTGATTGCAATCAGTAATAACACTGCAAACAAACAGTGAATAGGACCAGAACCAGAAGTTGATGGTGAAAGAATGCAAACAAAACCAAACCAAAACCCCCAACCAAACCACCCCAACCAAACCACCCCAACCGCCCCTCCCCAACCAACCAAACCAAAAACTCCCCAAACAAAACCAAAACCCCCCAAACAAAACCAAACCACCCCCCCCCACCCCAACCAAACCGAAACCCCCAACCAACCAACCCCCCCTCCCCGACCAAACCCCCTCCCCAACCAAACCCAAACCCCCAACCAACCAACCCCCCTCCCAACCAAACACCCCCTCCCCAACCAACCCCCCTCCCCAACCAACCCAACCCCCCTCCCCAACCAAACCACCCCACCAAACCACCCCACCCCCCCCCCAACCAAACCACCCCACCCCCACCCCAACCAAACCACCCCCCCCCCCAACCAACCAACAACCCCCAACCAAACCCCCCCAAAACCAAACCACCCCCCCCATCCCAACCAAACCGAAACCCCCAACCAACCAACCCCCCTCCCCAACCAAACACCCTCCTCCCCAACCAAACACCCCCCTCCCCAACCAAACCCCCCCTCCCCAACCAAACACCCCCTCCCCAACCAAACACCCCCCTCCCCAACCAAACCACCCCAACCAAACCACCCCAACGCCCCTCCCCAACCAAACCACCCCAACCAAACCACCCAACCGCCCCTCCCCAACAACCAAACCAAAAACTCCCCAAACAAAACCAAAACCACCCCCCTCCCCAACCAAACCGAACCCCCAACCAACCAACCCCCCTCCCCACCAAACCCCCTCCCCAACCAAACCCAAACCCCCACCAACCAACCCCCCTCCCCAACCAACCAACCCCCCTCCCCAACCAAACACCCCCCTCCCCAACCAAACCCCCCCTCCCCAACCAAACCCAACCCCCAACCAACCAACCCCCCCTCCCCAACCAAACACCCCCTCCCCAACCAAACACCCCCTCCCCAACCAAACACCCCCTCCCCAACCCCCCTCCCCAACCAAACACCCCCTCCCCAACCCCCCCTCCCCAACCAAACACCCCCCTCCCCAACCAAACACCCCCTCCCCAACCAAACACCCCCCTCCCCAACCCCCCCCTCCCAACCAAACACCCCTCCCCAACCCCCCCTCCCCAACCAAACACCCCTCCCCAACCCCCCCTCCCCAACCAAAACCCCCCTCCCCAACCAAACACCCCCTCCCCAACCAAACCCCCCTCCCCAACCAAACCCCCCCCCAACCAACCCCCCTCCCCAACCAACCACCCCCCTCCCCCAACCACCCCCTCCCCAACCAACCCCCCTCCCCAACCCCATTTTTGCGCGTTTATTTCGGTGCTAAAACTGCCCCAAAACACGTTCTTCTTCGTTTATTTTGCGTTGAAAGAAAAAAAACGACAAACTGCGATTTTGAAAATTCCGCCCAGTTTCAAATCTGGGCTTAAAGCCAATGATTTTCGGGGGGCGGCGGGGGGGGGGGGGGGGGGTGGGGGGGGGCGGTGTGGGGGGGGGCGGGTGGGGGGCGGTGTGGGGGGGGCGGTATGTGGGGGGGGGGGCGGGTGGGGCGGTGTGGGGGGCGGTGGGGGCGGTGGGGGGGGTGGGGGGGGTGTGGGGGGGGGGGGGTGGGGGGTGGGGGCGGTGTGGGGGGGGGGGCGGTGTGGGGGGGGGGGGGCGGTGTGGGGGGGGGGGGGTGTGGGGGTGTGGGGGGGCGGTGTGGGGGGGTGTGGGGTGGGCGGTGTGGGGGGTGTGGGGGGGGGGGGGGGGGGGGGGGGGGTGTGGGGGGGGGGGGGGGGGGGCGTGGGGGGTGTGGGGGGTGGGGGGTGGGGGGGGTGGGGGTCGGGGTTGGGTCGGGTTTGCGGAGGGGAGAAGGCGACGTAAAACCCGGAGCTGCGATTTCAGCTGCAAAAACCCCCTCCTGTCCCTGTGCTGTGCTGTGCTATCCCTGTCCTGTCCCTGTGCTGTGCTGTGCTATCCCTGTCCTGTCCCTGTGCTGTGCTGTGCTATCCCTGTCCTGTCCCTGTGCTGTGCTATCCCTGTCCTGTCCCTGTCCTATCCCTGTCCTGTCCTGTGCTATCCCTGTCCTGTCCCTGTCCTGTGCTGTGCTGTGCTATCCCTGTCCTGTCCCTGTCTTGTGCTGTGCTATCCCTGTCCTGTCCTGTGCTATCCCTGTCCCTGTCCTGTCCTATCCCTGTCCTGTCCTGTGCTATCCCTGTCCTGTGCTATCCCTGTCCTGTCCTGTGCTATCCCTGTCCTGTGCTGTGCTATCCCTGTCCTGTCCTATCCCTGTCCTGTCCCTGTGCTGTGCTATCCCTGTCCTGTCCTGTGCTGTGCTATCCCTGTCCTGTCCTGTGCTATCCCTGTCCTGTCCCTGTCCTGTGCTGTGCTATCCCTGTCCTATCCCTGTCCTGTCCTGTGCTATCCCTGTCCTGTCCCTGTCCTGTGCTGTGCTGTGCTATCCCTGTCCTGTCCCTGTCTTGTGCTGTGCTATCCCTGTCCTGTCCTGTGCTATCCCTGTCCTGTCCTGTGCTATCCCTGTCCTGTCCTGTGCTATCCCTGTCCCTGTCCCTGTGCTGTGCTGTGCTATCCCTGTGCTGTCCCTGTCCTGTGCTGTGCTATCCCTGTCCTGTCCCTGTGCTGTGCTGTGCTATCCCTGTCCTGTCCCTGTGCTATCCCTGTCCTGTCCTGTGCTGTGCTATCCCTGTCCTGTCCCTGTGCTGTCCTGTGCTATCCCTGTCCTGTCCCTGTCCTGTCCTGTGCTATCCCTGTCCCTGTCCCTGTGCTGTGCTGTGCTATCCCTGTCCCTGTCCCTGTGCTGTGCTGTGCTATCCCTGTCCCTGTCCCTGTCCTGTCCTGTGCTATCCCTGTCCTGTCCTGTGCTATCCCTGTCCCTGTCCCTGTGCTGTGCTGTGCTATCCCTGTGCTGTCCCTGTCCTGTGCTGTGCTATCCCTGTCCTGTCCCTGTGCTGTGCTGTGCTATCCCTGTCCTGTCCCTGTGCTATCCCTGTCCTGTCCCTGTGCTGTCCTGTGCTATCCCTGTCCTGTCCCTGTCCTGTCCTGTGCTATCCCTGTCCCTGTCCCTGTGCTGTGCTGTGCTATCCCTGTCCCTGTCCCTGTCCTGTCCTGTGCTATCCCTGTCCTGTCCCTGTCCTGTCCTGTGCTGTCCCTGTACTGCCCCTCAGTCGCTTCCCAACACATATTCATTTAATTCAACGCAGAAACTCAATCAAAAGAGAGTCCGGACTGAACCCGCGACAGGTAACACAGGTCCTATATAAAAAAAATAAAAAAAAGGCACTGTTTGTTATTGGAAAAATCAGGAGTTGTCAAATCCAAATACACTTTTTTTTGGGCACAAAAAAAAATGCTGTTTTCAGTCAGACATCCAGATTTTGGCGTTATCCAAACAACACAGAGAACAATAATAGATGTGAGTCTCTCTGATTAATCTTCTCCTCACCACAGTCTACACTCAGTGCCAACGATAACACTGTGTTAAAAAAAAATGAGTTTTTTAAAAAAAAAATTAAAAAAATTTTTTTTTTTTGCCCAAAGAGAAGTGTACCACCTGAAAAAGGTATTTTTTTGGGGGGGGTCTTGCATAATAAAATATTTATAACAGAAGCTGACAGTTAATGATAATAACAATAATAATAATTATTATAATAATAATAATTAAAAATCTGCTCTCACCAATTCGTCCATTAAGTACTCCGTCCCATCTGTCATTGTGTTCTGTGTTGTGTTCTGGTGGCACAGAAGGTTTTTTCTCTGCACACGTCGGACCTGATGATCTGCTCAGAATAATCTCAAACGTCTTCAGTCAAAAGTTTTAACTAACAGCCCCAAACTTCCCAGACATGCGCAGGACTGTCTGTAATTGCACATGTCTCTGACTCTCTCTCTTTCACTCTCTCACTCACTCACTCACTCATTCTCTGACTCACACTCTCTCTCACACACACACACACACCAAACGAAACGTCTAACGGTTTCTTCTCTCTCCAGCATTTAACAGGAAACCAGACAACGCCCTAGCAGTTGAAGGTGTAGCTGATAACACCAGGAGCACAATTAAACAGGGTTTACAACCGTTGGCGCAAAAATAAAAATCCCCCCCCCCCCTCCCAAAAGCTGTAAAGTCGATGCAAGGTGTTGTGCTTTCTTTGACTGAAAACAGCTACGATTATAATCAGAATCCTCGCATGTGTTACAGCGCCTTATCACGTCTTCGAGACGTCTCAAAGGCTATACTGTAAAGTGAATTGACTGTATATTTTGTGGACGAAACAAGGCAGCCAATTGCACACAGCAGTGTCCCACAGTCTTGGATTGAATGACCAATTTATTGATTTATTTATTTGTTTGTTTATTATGAACACATTTGTTTTTTAGCATTTCAACAATGGGGAACAGTGAGCTAGGACTGTACGTTCCCTAGACATAGGTTGCTAAAAAGTACAGTAACTTCAACTATCCCAGGAACAATTATCTTTATTGCCCTTCCTCTTCGTGCAAAATGTGCGTGAAACTGAATTAAGTTAACCACAATCATTGCAAAATAAAACCGATCTTTTCCCTTTCAAATTCTGTTGTACGCAACTTGGCAAAGCCTGGATTTTTCATTCTTACTGGCGGACGCATCAAAGTGGACAGGATTGATTGCCTTTCCAAGTCCTGCCGATGTGCAGGAATACTGCGGACCTGCTGGCTCAGGAACCGGTTGACCAAGACCACCCCAGAGGGCTGGCTCGATTCCGACATTCCGTTGTCAGGCATGTGAGCTTGGAGCCAGTTGAGTTCCAAGGATACCCCGCTTACCTGCTCCCCAAGGAGAATAGTTGACCGCACTGAGATGAGTGACAAAGGATCTTTAGAGTTAGCTGTGGCTGGGGTAAGGAAATTCCAACAGTCTATTTCTGGAATTTCCATGTGTAGGAGGGATGCATGGAATTCTCAGTTTGGTTTGGATACTCTTAAGCATGGTGATGGGATTCCGCATGTGTCAGACACCCGGCTGACCAAAAGCAAAATTTATTTCAAACTTCAAAGTCCATAATTTTTTCTATTATTATATTTAGACTCAGACTGGAACAGCAGGCAGCCATGCAACAATTTGGCAATATTACAAGCTAGGTGGTGCAAGAGGGCAGCTTGTGCTTGAGTTACTGATTTTCCTTTTGAGCATATACTCTCTTCTTCTCTACATCTCGACTGGATCAACCTCATCAAGACTCATTCTACAGGGAATCAGCCTTGTCCAACTCGTTGGTGGCCGTGTTTTTAACCAATTTCCCCCAAACTCTGGAGCTCTGCCTTAATCCCTCCTCCTTGCCCCCTCCTTTCCCTTCTTCAGATTGCATCTGAAGACCTTCCTCTTTGATGTGCCCACATTAAGGTTGTTGTTCCTCTACAAGAGGCAGCATCCTTTGGATGAAATGTTAGACTGAGATTCAGTATGCCTGTTCAGGTGGATATTAAGATCAAATTAGAGAGCAAATTACTCTACTCATTAGGACTTTGGGATGCAGGGTTAACAGACTGAATGGGAATAATCTTTGACTCCAAGTAACCAATCTGCCTTTCCACAGAAACAGGAGTAGGCTATTCAGCCTGTTCCACCATTCTATTGGATGTATACCTCAACTCAACTCCAAAAGGGTAGTGAAGTCCGATTCGATAACAGCTTTTAAGAGAGAACTGGATAGGTATCTGGGGAAGACGGGTTTGCAGGGTTATGGGGAGAAAGCTGGTGATTGGGGTTAGTGAAAGTGACTTGCTCTGTCAAAGAGCCGGCACAGACTCGATGGGCCGAATGGCCTCCTTCTGTGCCGTAATATTCTATAAATCTATGAAATAAGTTGGTAACTCAATCCACGACTGACTGTGGGACACTGCTGTGTGGAATTGGCGGCCGCGTTTCACCCACAAAGTATACAGTCAATTCACTTTACAGTATGTCTGTAAAGTGCATTGAGGCATCTCGAAGACATACTAAGGAGCTATATCAAATGCAAGGATTATAGGATTATTATGGAACATTGGGTTAATGTCTCTTCTGAAAGATGACACCTCTGACAATGCAGCGCTCCTTTTAGGCAAGGAGTTCAAAGTTCAAAGTCCCATCTAAAACTACCATTGCAGGTTTATTTCCTATAACCAATTAAGTATCTTATTTAACTCTATAAGTTCCACCTTCTCTCTTTAAGTACATACGCTTTATATATATATTGCTCTACAGTTGGATTTCAAAAAGAATTGTTTCACTCTACATGCTTGACAAACGCACAAAGCAGAGCCTGGTCATTTTAACGTAGAGGAGAGGGTAATAAAGAAAGCAACAGGATCTGAGAGTTTATCACAGAACTGCAGCAGATTTCCAAGAATTATGCTACTAAATAGTTATGGATTATTTTGACAGTGAAGGACTTCGCTTTGTAGATATGAAACTAAATCTTCTATTGGTAACCAGATTTTTGAACTCCAATTGCCAGATTGTTCCACACATATTTACCTATATGTACATGGTCATTGCACTTTGCTATAATGTCCTGACTTTAAGATGTTTCTGTGATGTGATAACAACAACAACAGCAACAACAAGATTCCATTTATTGAGCGCCTTTCACGTCGGGAGGACGTCCCAAGGCGCTGTACAGTTGGGTCAGGACCCGAGCAGGGGGGAGAATGGTCAGGGTGAGGGGAGGGAAGGGAGGGAGCGAGGAGGGGGGAAATGGTCAGGGGGAGGGAAGGGAGGGAGCGAGAAGGGGGTAGAGAGTCGAGAGGGGAGCTGAAGGCACGGTCAAAGAGAAAGGTTTTGAGACCGGCCTTGAAGGAGGAAAGGGAGGAGGCGGCGAAGGCACTGGGGGATGGAGTTCCAGAGCCTCGGGGCTGAGAGGCTGAAGGCCCGGCCACCGATGGTAGGGCGGTTGGGGCGGGGGATGTGGAGCAGACCGGAGCCAGAGGAACGGAGGGTACGGGCAGGTAGGTAGGGGGATAGTAGGTCGGAGAGGTAGGAGGGAGCAAGGCCGTGAATGGCCTTGTAGGTGAGGATGAGGATCTTGAATTCGATCCTCTGGGGGATGGGGAGCCAGTGGAGGCGAGCGAGGGTGGGAGTGATGTGGTTCCGAAGCCTGGTGCGGGACAGTACACGAGCTGCAGAGTTCTGAATGACCTGCAGCTTGTGGAGGGAGGTGCCGGGAAGGCCGGCGAGGAGAGAGTTCCCATAGTCCAGCCTTGAGGTGATAAAGGCGTGGACCAGAGTTTCAGCAGCGTGAGGGGTGAGGTAGTGCCGTAGTCTGGCGACATTCCGGAGGTGATGGAAGGCGGTGCCAGTTGTGGCGCAGATATGAGGGAGAAAGGACAGCTCAGGGTCGAACAGAACCCGAGGTTCCTGACTGGCTTTGAGAGGTGGAGAGTGCAGCCTTGGATGCTGATGTTGTCAGCGCCTGAGGTGCGGAGGCGCTGACGTGAGCCAATCAGGAGGGCCTCAGTTTTGCGCACGTTGAGCTGGAGAAAGTTATCTCTCGTCCAGGACTCGATGTCGGACAGGCAGCTGTCAGGACATCGGTGGTCGTGGAGTTGAGGGTAGAGGAGGAAAGGTAGAGTTGGGTGTCATCCGCATACATGTGGAAGTTAACCCCATGTCTGCGGATGATGTCACCAAGGGGGAGCATATAGAGGGTGAAGAGGAGGGGACCGAGGACAGAGCCTTGAGGGACACCGCACGAGACAGTGCGGGGGCCGGAGGAAAAACCATTTGTGGAGACAAAGTGAAGACGGTGGGAGAGGTACGACCTAAACCACTCAAGGACAGGGCCTTGAAGGTTTAGGTGGGAGGACAAGCGGTGGAGGAGGATAGCATGGTCGACCGTATCGAATGCTGCCGATAGGTCGAGGAGGACGAGGAGGCAGAGATGGTCAGGATGTCATTGGTGACCTTGACCAGGGCAGTTTCTGTGCTATGGGTAGCACGGAAACCCGATTGAAGGGGTTCGAATAGTGAATGGTTGGAGAGGAAAGAGCGCAGCTGGGAGGCGACAACTCGTTCCAGGACCTTGGATAGGAAGGGGAGGTTGGAGATGGGCCGGTAGCTTGATAGCTGCGACGCATCAAGGGAGGGTTTTTTTAAGGTGGGAGTGATGGTGGCAGTTTTTAAGGGAATGGGAATAGAGCCAGAGGAGAGGGACAGGTTGACGATGTCTGTGATATGTGGGGCAAGGAGGTGGAGCTGGGAGATAAGGAGTGGAGTGGGGATGGGGTCAAGGGAGCAGGTGGTAGTTTCAGGGAGAGGATGAGTTTGGTGACAGAGGATGGGGAAACGGGTACGAAGGTGTGTAGGGGAGGATGGGTAGGAGTCGGAGTGTGGGAGGGAAGGGGTGGGTGTGGGTGGATGTTGGAGGGGAAGTGACCGCGGAGCGGATTCCCTTGATCTTGGATTCAAGGAAATCCAGCATCTCCTCGCAGTGAAGGTTGGAGGAGATGACCAGCGCGGGGTGGCAGGGGGGACGGAGGAGTTGGGATGTGGTAAAGAACAGTAGCCTGGGGTTGTCCTTCGCCTCCAGGATTATCCTGGAGTAGAAGGACGATTTGGCCGAGGCTAGAGTGGAGCGGTAGATTTTGAGGAGGTCCAGCCAGATTTGTCGGTGGACCGTTAGGCCAGATTTGACCCAGGTGCGTTCAGCGGCCCGCACCTGGCTCTTCAGTGAGCGGAGGTGGGTGGTGAACCAGGGGGAGGAGCGAGAGTAGGAGACAGTACGGGAGGTGATAGGGGCAAGAGTGTCAAGTGTGGAGGAGAGGGTGTTGTGG